GGGGAGTAGTCGAACCTAAGCCCCCCATGGAGGAGGTAAAAACCCCCACATCTTTGGGACCAAGTGTCCCAGGCCTAGCCACTGGCCCCGCCCCACGGGGCTCGTAGGGAACTAGCCACTGGTCTACCATCTGCCCCGCCCCAAAGGGCTCGTGGGATGGCAGTCTTGTGAGTTGCAGGTGGTAGCAAGCTCAAACCTCCCTCTGAAGTCAATTAAAACATTTGAATAACAGACGACTTATAATAGCCACATATACGACATTATAACTGTTCCATTATGATATGGGTGGGATGGCCGACGACTTGTCAAATGTGGCTTAAATTCTTCACAAATTTTATTAAATATGATTGAATCTGTTTCGTATAATCCTGAACTATCATCCATATTAAAATCAAAACAAACATTTTTTTATGAAACTTTCTTCAATTATATTTCTATCAACGATAGACCTGATTGATACAACTTTATCGGCTTTAGAAAATCACTTGGATGGTTAAAATCTTTCATATGAATTAACAGAGCATGAAACTCTTGTCCAGCCGTAATGCTATATTTATGGTGTTGTAATCTAAGTTTAAAACTTTTCCCAGTTTGACTGTAGTAATGTTTATTAGAATATTTTAAGGGAATCTTGTTGACACAGCCATCAGCATTTTTTTTTTGTGGGGGGGGGATTTAATGAGAAGTTATTTCTTTTTTTTTACTGTATTAAGATTTTTAAATACAACGTTGAATTTAAAATTCATAACTACAGAAGGAATATCAAGAAGTTTTTCATGGCAAAATGCATTTCTAGAAATTTTAAAGAATTTATTAGTTAAGTATTTTCGGTATTTTATACCATTAACTCTTTCACAAATCTTCAAAATTTATTCATCTATTGACTCTGGGAAAAATTCGTAAAGCTGTCATAAACATGGCTGAGAATACACAAAATTTAACTCTATCATGATGTGAAGAATATTAGTACTTACAAGATCAGTTATTTGTTTTTTTTTCCGTATATTTTTTATTTAAACTCATGATTCCCCTCTAATAATTATGATATTTTAAAAAGACAATGATTTATTTTGTTTTGGTAAAATGTGTGGTAGAGTTATTATTTAAAGAATTAAGAGTAAAACTGAGAGCAGAATAAGAGATGAACGAGGGGGCTTTAGGGAGGGTAGACCAAGTGTTTGCAGTGAAACTTATAGGTGAACAGTATTTAGATAAGGGTAAAGAGGTATTTGTGGCATTTATGGATTTGGAAAAGGTGTATGACAGGGTGGATAGGGGGGCAATGTGAGAGATGTTGCAAATGTTTGAAATAGGAGGTAGGTTATTGAAAGCGGTGAAAAGTTTTTAGGAGGATAGTGAGGCTCAGGTTTGAGTATGTAGACGAGAGGGACATTATTTCCCAGTAAAAGTAGGCCTTAGACAGGGATGTATGATGTCAGAATGGTTGTTCAATATATTTATAAATGGAGCTGTAATTGAAGTGAATGCTCAGGTGTTGGCAAGAGGTGTGGAGTTAAAAGATAAAGAATCTAACACAAAGTGGGAGTTGTCAGAGTTGCTACTTGCTGATGACACTGTGTTTTTTGGAGATTCTGAAGAGAAGTTGCAGAGGTTGGTGGATGAATTTGGTAAGGTATGTAAAAGAAAAAAAGTAAAAGTGAATATAGGAAAGAGTAAGGTTATGAGGATAACAAAAAGACTAGGCGGTGAAACACTGAATATCAAATTGGAGGGAGAGAGTATGGAGGAGGTGAATGTATTCAGATATTTATGAGTGGACGTGTCAACAGATGGGTCTATGAAGGATGAGGTGAATCATTGAACTGATGAGGGGAAAAGGGTGAGTGGCACTGAGGAGTCTGTGGAAGCAAAGAACTTTGTCCGTGGAAACAAAGAGGGGAATGTATGAGAGTATAGTTGTACCAGCACTCTTGTTTGGGTGTGAAGCATGGGTGATGAATGGTGCAATGAGGAGAAGGCTGGAGGCAGTGGAGATGTAGTGTCTGAGGGTAATGTGTGGTGTGAATATAATGCAGAGAATTCGTAGTTTTGGAAATTAGGAGAAGGTGTGGGATTACCAAAACTGTTGTCCAGAGGGCTGAGGAAGGGTTCTTGAGGTGGCTCGGGCATGTAGAAAGAATGGAACAAAACAGAATGACTTCAAGAGTGTTTAAATCTGTAGTGGAGGTAAGGCGGGGTAGGGGTCGGCCTAGAAAGGGTTGGAGGGAATTGGTAAAGGAGGTTTTGTGTGCGAGAGGCTTGGACTTCCAGCAAGCGTGGGTGAGCGTATTTGATAGGAGAGAATGGAGACGAATGGTTTTTAATACTTGACGTGATGTTGGAGTGTGAGCAAAGTAACATTTATGAAGGGATTCAGGGAAACGGCAGGCCGGACTTGAGTCCTGGAGATGGGAAGTACAGTGCCTGCACTCTGAAGGAGAGGTGTTAATGTTGCAGTTTTATAACTGTTGCGTAAAGCACCCGTCTGGCAGGACAGCGATGGAGTGAATGATAACAGCTTTTCTTTATCGGGCCACCCTGCCTTGGTGGGAATCGGCCGATGTGTTAATAAATAAATAAATAAATATATATGTATGTATATATATATATATATATATATATATATATATATATAATATATATAATATATATATATATATATATATATTATATATATATATATATATATATATATA